AACCTAGAAGATCCTGTGATTCTGTGATTTACTTTACAGCCAGCTCTGGGGTGCAGGTTTCAAGGTCTCCCTGCTGGGAGTGCACAGCTTCCTGCTGATGGAATGGCCTGAGTATAATCCTCGTGTGTTTTATATTGGTATCAGGATCAATATTGGTTCTTTAGTGATATTAATGTTAATTATCTAGTCTTATTCTATTAAAATTGCTTATATTTCAACCCTCGGGCTTCCTTGTTCTTTCCCCGTTCCCCTTCCCGGGTGGGGAGGGGTCACTGGGGGAGAGAATAATTGTCTAAACGACAATAAATTGTGGTGGCAGTAGCTGGGGTAAATGAGTTTTCCACCTCTTGGATGTGACAGTCCTGCCCGAGCGGGGAGGGACTTGTCCTCTGGTCCCTGCCAGGGCAGCCCAGCAGCATTTAGCGGGAGTTGAGCCATTTAACTTTATCAATTGATTGGTTAATGAGCCTCTTGCTCGCCTTGGGTTACTCAGCACTATTGCCTCTGCTTATAGATTGGGTGCTGCTTTTTATCGCACACTTCCCCGCATCCCGTCAGTTGTAAATCTATTATATAGATATTAGTAAGCTGCAAGCATCACTGTCTAAAGGGGACGTCAAATAGTGCAATTAAATGCTAAATCAGCATGTTTCCCATGTTTGCAGCATCTTTGGATCTATTTTCTTTTCTTCCCAGCAGCATTCCCCAAAGGTTTTGTTCCCGGGAGAGCAGGGCAAGGCAGGAGAGCTAGACCAGAGAGGAAAGGGAAGGTCTGCACTGATTGCAAAACTCGAAAGCTTTGAGAAACTAATGAGGTGTCCAAACTTTCCTAGATACTTTCCGGAAAAAAAACAACAGAGGCTTGGCCCATCAAAAGGGTGGGTGCACAGTTGAGGGCTGTGCCACCATCCAGCAAGACGTGGACAGGCTGGAGAGTTGGGCAGAGGAACCTGATGAACTTCAACAAAGGCAAGTGTAGGGTGCTGCACCTGGGGAGGAATAACCCCCTGCACCAGGACAGGTTGGGGGTGACCTACTGGAGAGCAGCTCTGAGGAGAAAGAGCTGGGAGCCCTAGTGGACAACAGGGTGACCATGAGCCAGCAATGGGCCGTTGTGGCCAAGAAGGCCAATGGCATCCTGGGGGGCATCAGGAAGAGTGTGAGCAGCAGGTGGAGGGAGGTCATCCTGCCCCTCTGCTCTGCCCTGGGGAGGCCCCATCTGGAGCACTGGGACCAGTTCTGGGCTCCCCAGTTCCAGAAGGACAGGGAACTGCTGGAGAGGGGACAGCAGAGGGCTACAGAGATGATGAGGGACCTGGGACTTATAAATCCAATGCTTATAAATCCTTAAAGGCTTATAAATCCAATGCTTATAAATCCTTAAAGGGAGGGTGTCAAGAAGATGGGACTGGTCTTTTTTCAGTGGTGCCCAGGGACAGCACAAGAGGAAATGGGCACAAACTTGAATATAAGAAAAACCACCTAAACATGAGGAGGAAGTTCTTTGCTGTGAGGGTGGCAGAGCCCTGGCAGCGCCTGGCCAGGGAGGTGGTGGAGGCTCCTTCTCTGGAGACATTCAAACCCCACCTGGACCCATTCCTGTGGGACCTGCTCTGGGTGGCCCTGCTTTGGCAGGGGGTTGGACTGGGTGATCTCCAGAGGTCCCTTCCAACCCCATGTCATTCTGTGATCATCCAAATGCCAGCAGTGCACCCACTACGTGGGCGGGAGGAGAGAGTCAAAGCAGCCTACGCTAATTAAACCTCAGCCTCTGTGAATCCAATCAGAGCTCTCCAGAAGGCAGGAATGTTTATGCCAGGGAGAGGTAAATAATACTAGAGGGAAACTTCAGCTCTGATGGCGGGTTGTGCAGTACATTTATTAGGAGGCAGGAGGAACCAAATCTGGTTGGGTGCTTTACGATGCGGTTCAGACGGTCGCTTTGGATCGCGATGCTCCCGGGAAAGACTTATAGGCATCTGCAAATTAAATCAATAAGGAATTTCTCAATTGAAGATGAGGACATGGGGGATGTCTGAAGACTGATGAAAGCGGTAGGAGGAACATACTCGTTTTCTGAGATGTTTGTCACAGCAGTTGCTTCCCAGCGTAACGGGCACACACATTTAGATGTATTAAATACAATTCTGGCTCTCACTTGCTTTGTCTGCCTAGAAAGCGGCTTGCCACACCAGGGCTGGTCCACACACCAGTGACAGCCCCTTCCACCCTGGCACCTGCAGCTCCTGCCGGGGCCTGGTGGCCACGAGCCCCTGCCGTAGGAGAGAATGGGAGGGGTGAGGACAAGAGGAAACGGGCACAAACTTGAATATAAGAAGTTCCACCTAAACCTGAGGAGGAACTTCTTCACTTTGAGGATTGAAGAGCCCTGGCAGAGCCTGCCCAGGGAGGTGGTGGAGTCTCCTTCTCTGGAGACATTCAAACCCCACCTGGACACGTTCCTGTGCAACCTGCTCTGGGTGGCCCTGCTCTGGCAGGGGGTTGGACTGGATGATCTCCAGAGGTCCCTTCCAACCCCATAGCACTCTGTGATTCTGTGATGAGGCTCCCTTCCCAGATGCTGTCCCCAGAGCCTCCCTTCCCAGCCCTCTCCGCCTTCTTCCTTGGTAGCGCAGGGCTCTGGGACTCCCATTAAGAGAACGTGGGCCTTGCAAAGAGAGCTTAATTGCCAGCCTGGCCTGAAGCCAGGCTTTGGGAGGCAGGAGGGCATCTGGCCAGGGTACCCCGGACACTCCATTCCTGATGGCTCCCCTCTCTGCTGGCAGGAGCTGCCCTGCTGAAAGCTGTCACCAAGCTCTAGGAGAGCACGGGGGACCTGTCCCTCGGCCAGCAAGGGTGGGAGAGGCTGTGCCTGGGGGGGACAAGGGCATCCCATGGATGCCACCAGGTTGGCTGAATCACCCCGGGGAGCTCCTCTGCTTTCTCGGGCAGCCAGCCCTTGCCCCACTGGTTTGGTAGGACCTCTCCTGGTCAGAGCCACCTCCCTCTCCCCCGCTGCCACCAAGGGGTGACGGGACAGTGCCTGGACCCCATTGCAAAACCCCCAGCCCTCTCTACAGGGAAAGAACAAATTATTATTTGTCTTCTTTCATCAGTTGGTGCTTTCATTGGTGGGTTTGCATCCTCCCACTGCTCCCTGCCAGCACGGGAATATCTGACAGCACCACCTCCCAGTGCCCCCCAGTGCCCCCAGCAGCATCACGGGGAGGCACTGGTCAGCTCTCCCAGCTCAGAGGGATGGGGGCACGGAGAGACCCTGGAGCAGAGCCCTTGGTGTCCTTCCTGCCAGGGGATGCCACCAGGCACTGAGGATCCACCCCAGGGCTTCAAATCCTTTTCCCAAGCAGTGTTTATTTTGGAGTAGTTTGGCTGAAAAGCATGGGGAGACACGGGGCAAAAGTGGTTCCTTCTTCTTTCTGGGGGCAGTTGGAGGTGGGGAGACGTGGGGCTGAGCCTTCTCCATTCCCATGGGGCACTCGAGGTCTGGTCCCCACCGCTGGTATTCTCTAAACATCAGCTGGATTTGAGGATCCCCGAAGGGTTAATGTTATTCAACAGAATCTTTGTGGCAGGTGTCAGGGAAAAACTGTGCCTTTCTCTTCCCTTCAGATAACCTGTTCTCTGAATACAAGTGTGGAACTTATGATTTAAATATATCCAAATGCGTGTAATTAATCACAAGTGCAACGTACCTCCTCCCTGCTGCGAAACCTTATTAACAGCGTGGGCGGCATCCTAAAATACCAAATCCGCCACGTTTCAGCTCAGACTCTTCAGCCTGGAAAGCCTGGACGCAGCCAGCAGACCTGAGGAGCCAGAACCCAAACACCCTTCCTCCCTCTGCCCAGGACTTCCATCACCTCCACAGCAGGACATCCTCATTTTGGGTACAGGATTAAGGAACCATCGCGGTCTTCGAGGGGTTTATTCTTGGGCCTGATGAAAGTAGGAGGAGGGACATACTCGTTTTCTGAGATGTTTGTCACAGGGAGGTGATTCTGCCCCTCTGCTCTGTGCTTGTGAGACCCCACCTGGAGTCCTGTGTCCAGCTCTGGAGTCCTCAGCACAGGAAGGACATGGACCTGTTGGAAGGGGTCCAGCGGAGGGCCAGGAAGATGCTCAGAGGGATGGAGACAGGCTGAGAGAGCTGGGGTTGGTCAGCCTGGAGAAGAGAAGGCTCCGGGGAGACCTTAGAGCAGCCTCCCAATATCTGAAGGAGCTCCAGGAGAGCTGGGGAGGGACTCTTTGTCAGGGAGTGCAGTGACAGGACAAGGGGGAATGGTTTTACATTGGGAGAGGGGAGATTGAGATGAGATACCAGGAAGAAATTCTTTGCTGTGAGGGTGGTGAGAGCCTGGAACAGGTTGGCCAGAGAAGCTGTGGCTGCCCCATCCCTGGAGGGGTTCAAGGGCAGGTTGGAGGGGGCTTGGAGCAACCTGGTGTGGTGGGAGGTGTCCCTGCCCAGGGCAGGGGGGTTGGAACTGGATGATCTTTAAGGTCCCTTCCAACTCTCACCATTGTATGATTCTATGACTGTGGTTGGCAGGGTGTGCTGGTTGGTGACATCCCCTGATGGGAAGGCAGCACACTGCGGAGCTGGGAACACCGTGACTCAAAAGATCTCCGAGCTGGGATTACTGGAGGCTGATGTCAGCTTGGCAGCACACCCCGGGGCTCGTGGCAAGCGCCCGGGTCGGGGATGGAGCCCCCAAGCTGTAATGGTGCCAGGGAAGATGGACAGGACACGAGGAACGGCATAATCGCTCTTTCCAGAATTGATTCCTGCTCAGCTTAACATGTTAAAACATCAAAAGTACTGGGGAAAAAAAAAAAAATCACCACTCCATCTGCTACCAGAGCTAATCAAACGCATCAATTATTGCTTCAGAAAGACACTTGCTGCTGGATTTGATATCCCAAAAAAGCAAAGCTGCTTTAAAGCGTCTCTTTATTTTAGCTGAGTGTTTTCATGACGGTACATGATTGCTGAGGAGCGCTGGTACAGCTAGGACACACAGAAAAATACGTCAGCTCTGCAAAAAAACAGCTCTAGGCACGGGGGAAGTTGAATCCCAGTGGATTCCAGTAGAATGGGGGACTCTGGAAGCCGGGTTTGTGGCGGGAGGGCTTGGAACCGGCGACATCCTCCCAGCTTTGGGACGCTGAGAACATCATGTGCTGGCCCTTAGTGTCTGGGAAAAATACACAGAGTTGCTCTGTTCTTATTCAGAGGATCGCAGAATGGTTGGGGTTGGAATCACAGAAGGGACCTTAAAGACCATCCAGTTCCACCCCCTGCCCTGGGCAGGGACACCTCCCACCAGAGCAGGTTGCTGGTGGGATTTGGTGGTGGTACTTGATGGTGAGGATGAAATACAAGGCTGGGTATGTCCCTTTGTTCCCTCTCCAGTCCAAAGAAGGTTTGGTTGTGGAGAGCATCATCTCAAAAGGTTTTGAAAGGCAAAGTCACCTTCCAGCTATCAAAACACTTCAGATGAGGCAGATGGGAAACCAAAAATATTATTTAGGTTTGGGCAGTAAAACTGACACTGAACCCGTTTGCTTCATTTTTCAGGCTTTGATGATAGTTAATGACAGCTTACAGAAGTTGTAAGTGATCTAAAAAAGCCATAAAAAGCTGCTTTGTGTCCTTGTCCAGGGGATGAATTTAACAAAACCATTATGGGGCTTTAAAACACTGTTTTGACTTTCTAGAACCAGCTGTGGGATGATCCAGCTGCGGTTGGATCCCCCTTGCATCTAAGAGAACATTTAAGAGGATTAATCCCAATAATTTTAATTCAACAAAATGACCTTATGTAACGTTTCTGAGGAATTAATGAGAATTCTCTCATGTGGGTCATCACTGGCCCGGTGGATTGTTGGGTTGTTTTTTTTTTTCCCCCTTCTCATCGGTCTCAGGCCGAGCGTGGAGATAGTAGATGGACCCCGTCACACATTGCAGGGGATGGGGAGATAAGTCACTGGGAGGAGCAGGAACCCTTTTTTTTGTGGGTTTTTTCCCTTGGCTGGAATATGATTTGGGAGCACACAAAGACGAGCGCAGCTGTCAGCCTCCGCTGGTGCTGTTTGAAACCCTTTTGGCTCCCAGGCTTTTTCCACAGAAAAATGCAATCTCATCGAATGTGAATGCTGCTGCAGGAATCTGTGGAGTCCAGCTGCCTCTTTTTTTTTCTTTTTTTTTTTAATCGGGAAAAAAAAAATAATATCCTCATCTAATTGTTTTTGACTGTGTTTCTTTGCTGTTCTGACTGAGCCGGGCAGGATGCATATTAAAGCTAATTAGGTGCATGGAGGGTATTCAATATTTCATCTTAATATTAAAGGCCCCAGGAGAGGGCACGTTACCAAAGTTACACAACTGCAAATTTTAGGAGAACCAAACTGTGCCAGGGGCCTGACGTTGCATAAAACACAAACCTGGGCCGCTCCCTGCTCCTCTGGGGACCTGGGGGTCTGGGGCAGCCTCCGCCTGCATCCCTGCTCGTGCCTTTGCCTTCCCAGCTGGGCTTTGGGGAGAATGAGAACCTGATTTGGGGGAGCAAGAGAGGGGGCCTGTTGCCTTGGTTCTGTATCGGCAGGTGTGATGGATTTCCACCCCCCTCGAGCACTCCCTGGCTGCATCCCTGGGCCAGCATCTCCTGTCCTTGTGCTTAGGGGAAGGGTGGGAGCCTGACCTTCATGGGGACCAGGGGCTGCCTAGAAATCACAGAACCACAGAGTGATATGGGAGGCAGCACCCCACCTCTCATTAATTCACCAAATCACAGAATCCCATGGGGTTGGAAGGGACCTCTGGAGATCATCCAGTCCAACCCCCTGCCAAAGCAGGGCCACCCAGAGCAGGTCCCACAGGAACGTGTCCAGGTGGGTTTGAATGTCTCCAGAGAAGGAGACTCCACCACCTCCCTGGGCAGCCTCTGCCAGGGCTCTGCCACCCTCACAGCAAAGAAGTTCCTCCTCACGTTTAGGTGGAACTTCTTACATTCAAGTTTGTGCCCATTTCCTCTTGTCCTGTCCCTGGGCACCACTGAAAAAAGACCGGCCCATCCTCCTGACACCCTCCCTTGAAGTATTTAGAAGCATTGATCAGATCCCCCCTCAGCCTTGTCTCCTCCAGACTAAAAAGACCCAAGTCCCTCAGCCTCTCCTCATAACAGAGATGCTCCGGGCCCCTCACCATCTCTGTAGCCCTCTGCTGTCCCCTCTCCAGCAGTTCCCTGTCCTTCTGGAACTGGGGAGCCCAGAACTGGTCCCAGTGCTCCAGATGGGGCCTCCCCAGGGCAGAGCAGAGGGGCAGGATGACCTCCCTCCACCTGCTGCTCACACTCTTCCTGATGCCTCCCAGGATGCCCTTGGCCTTCTTGGCCACAAGGGCCCATTGCTGGCTCATGGTCACCCTGTTGTCCACCAGGACTCCCAGGTCTTTCTCCTCAGAGCTGCTCTCCAGCAGGTCCCCCCCAACCTGTCCTGGTGCAGGGGGTTATTTCTCCCCAGATGCAGCACCCTACACTTAGCTCTGTTGAAGTTCATCAAGTTAATGAGGAGCTCATTTAGATTGTCATTAATACTTGTGGGCAGGGTAGTGCATCTGGCTACTGGGACTCCTCTGGGGACTGGTGGCCAGTGGTCTCTGTAGGGAAAAAGCCATCAATAGGGTGACTGGGTGGCTAGAACCACTGGTGGGGTTGGCTCTGCCCTCCGTTGGCCTCAGTGTGGGTAATACCAATGGTTTGGCCGTGGGATGTTTAATTTTCCTGACTTTATGGTGTTAAATTCCAAAGGTGGACTACATTCCTGCCTTTCGAAATATCAGTACTGGCGTCTTCCCGTTTATCAGCAGTAATTAATTATCTTTCAGGATGCAGTAGGCTGTTGATTCTCTTAAACTTGCTTTATACACACACTTCAAAACGGAGTCCGTCGCTCCACTGCTTCCTGGTAGAAAATACAAAGGCCGAAACAGCCCTCAGAGGGCAGAGTGGAGGGGTCCCTGGTACGTCCCCAAAATGTAGGGCACCAAACCCAACCCGGACCCCCCAGCCTGATGAAGGGAATCAAGCCTACAGCACGGGAAACCCAGCTCTCCTCTCCACCACCGTGTGGAAACAAAGCAAGCACCACCCCTCAGAACAGCCTGAAGATGAAATGAAGCACGGAGGTAGAACTCAATTAGAAAATAATAATAATAAAAAAGGCTTAAGAGCCGCTTCCAAAAAGCCACAGGACTGCATGGACACGGCATCACTTTGGGAGTCCTCTTTAGTGCATTTGTTTCTGGGTTTGGTCCGTATTAAAGTGGTATGGACATGGCACCACTTTGGGAGTCCTCTTTAGTGCACTTGTTTCTGGGTTTGGTCCGTATTAAAGTGGAAATGAAGAGAATCCTGGCTATATTTTCTACATGAGCTGAAATCAAAGGTTTTGGGGAAGATGCGGTATCTGGCCCCTACCTGTCTCAAAGCTCATCATCATTAGCTCAATGGCTGCTCATCCACAGGCAGAAAATAAGATGGGAGCAAAATTCATGAATATTCTGTGATCCATTCAGAGTATACACAAGAGAGTCTCTCATAACATGATTTTCTAGCTTTTTGGCCAGGGGTTGAGGTGCAGGAGCACACGCCCAGCTTTAACTTTAGTGAAGGCATGAGTGACTTACAGGCTTTGATATGAGCTGCCTTAGAAGAGCAGGAATTATTTCTGCCCCGTACAGGTCCGTGGGGCTTCTGCCATTGATTTGAATAATCTCAACCATTTCCAGAGCCGGGGGTCTTGGCAGCATTTCAATCAAAAATTCATGAATATTCTGTGATCCATTCAGAGTATACACAAAAAAGTTGCTCAAAACATGATTTTCTAGCTTTTTGGCCAGGGGTTGGGGTGCAGGAGCACACGCCCAGCTTTAACTTTAGTGAAGGCATGAGTGACTTACAGGCTTTGATATGAGCTGCCTTAGAAGAGCAGGAATTATTTCTGCCCCGTACAGGTCCGTGGGGCTTCTGCGATTGATTTGAATAATCTCAACCATTTCCAGAGCCGGGGGTCTTGGCAGCATTTCAATCGCCCGATGGATTTGCTTATTTATTTTTTTAACATGAACCGGCTGGTCAGTTAGAATAACGTCTCAGCGTGCAAGAAATACTTTGGGGGGGGGGGAAGAATTCAGTTTTGAGTCAGCCAGAGGGATTTCCTGCAGAAAAAAAAAAAAGGGGGCATGGAGGCAAAGAGGCGTCTTAATCTCCCGTCTCAGGGAATTTCGTGTGGGAATGGGATGTACAAGGTGTCATTCAGACGTTGAGGTGCAGGAGCACACGCCCAGCTTTAACTTTAGTGAAGGCATGAGTGACTTACAGGCTTTGATATGAGCTGCCTTAGAAGAGCAGGAATTATTTCTGCCCCGTACAGGTCCGTGGGGCTTCTGCCATTGATTTGAATAATCTCAACCATTTCCAGAGCCGGGGGTCTTGGCAGCATTTCAATCACCCGATGGATTTGCTTATTTATTTTTTTAACATGAACCGGCTGGTCAGTTAGAATAACGTCTCGGCGTGCAAGAAATACTTTGGGGGGGGGGTAAGAATTCAGTTTTGAGTCAGCCAGAGGTATTTCCTGCAGAACGGAGATTTCCCCCCCAGCTGGGAGTCTCTCACAGGGCTCCCTCAGTGTTTCTTGGACTGCTGGTAAAAACCCCAGGTTGAAAAAATTATCCTTTTTAAAACAATCACCGTTTGCAGTTTCTAGCCAACCCTGACTGAGGAAGCTGGGTTTGCTTTTCCAAAAAAAAAAAGCGGGCAAAGAGGCATCTTAATCTCCCGTCTCAGGGAATTTCTTGAGGGAATGGGATGTACAAGGTGTCATTCAGACACAGCCAGGGGGGAAAAGAAGGAGAGGTTTGAGAGATTTGCACCGTGTCACGGAGGTCTGAACTGTGCCTTTGCAGTCTTTGAAACACAAGGTCACGGGCATCTGCGTTGA